CCCTTTTTTTCTTTTCTGCACTCCTAATTTTGTTCTTTTTCTGAACTTTTCTTTTCCTCACTCCTGTTTTTCTGTTTCTTTATATTATGCCTTTTTGTTGAAATTAATAACTTTCTTTAAAAAATGCTTCGTCTTTCAACAAACCTGTGAGGTAGATCCTTCTAGGAATAGGAACTGCCCTAAATGCATCCATTGAGGCTGAGTGACAATTCACAGCTAGTTTTCAGTCCAGAGTTATATTCCACTGGCAGCCTCTGTGTTTATTTCTTAGATTTAAGTCCCAACTTTTTTTAAAAAAACTTCAAAGCAGCATATATACCCTTCCATTCCCCGCCCCCCCCCAACAACAACTCTGAGGTAGATTGGGCTGAGAGACCTAACTGGCCCAAATCCTTTGAGTTGCCAGGGCTGAGGGTAGGACTCGAACCCCAGATCTTGATGCAATAGCTGCATTCCCTGACTTTCTCCTTGGCTGGCAATCCCTTGCCTGATTTTTCACGCCTATATATGCATGTGGGTCATTTTTGTTACCAGCTCTGTTGGGTTCCCAAGTCCGATGACCTCAGGCAGGTGGAGTAGTAGCACCAACAGGCAGCCTAATCCATTGGTATCTGTGAAGAAAGGGAGGCGGGGGGGTCACTGCCTCTTTGCTCCCCCTCCGTGAAATAAATCCTCCCAGGTTTCTCTAGATTGGAGATGGATGGAAAAAGCAGCTGGGCTGTTTTTCCACCTCTGTCTTCCCCAGTTCCGTCTTGATGGGGCGAGAGCCAGGCTAAAAAGCCACAGAGAGAGCCTTGATGCAAATCCATCTCCCAGCTCATAATTACGGCTTGGGTGATCTTTCTCTCCCCCTCTTCCTCCTACACCTTCATTTAGGTGGCTTAGTGGGTTGGATCCCACTTGCTTTAAAAAAAACCAACCAAAAACCAAAACCCTTTCATGTCAGGGCAGAGTTGATGTTTTTGCAAGTGCTTGGCCTCGGCATATGCCAAGAAAACAAAAGCGCCAACCTTTTCTGTCTGGACAGGAAATAGATATACTCTACTAACAAACACAACCTCCCCCCCCCCACCTTCCAATCCCACAAATAGACATTTTGCCTTTATGGCAGTACATTCCTTGATGGAAGAGAAGAAGGGGGGAAAGGGAAAAAAAAAATCACTGATGTGTCTCGGCCAGAGAGGTTTGCTGACATTTAACATCTGAAGCCAAAGCAGTCCATAGCCTGGAAGGCTGAAAGGGAGGCAGGGAGAGAGTAGCGTGGTGTGTGTGTGTGTGTGTGTGAGTGAGTGAGTGTGTGTGACAGATACAGTACTTCCTTCTCCCCTCCCTTTGCTTATTTGCACCTTATTTTATATGGTGCAAATAATTTTTTATGCTTATTTGCAGCTTATTTGCTTATTTGTTTTTCTCCCTGGAAGTCATGAGAGTTTAGCTTTGGTCGAAAATGATTGAGGCTCAATGGGGGACACTGTCTCCATTTCCCCCCCCCCCCACTTCCTTCCTGCCTTCCTTTTCCTGTCTCAAAAATCTTGCTCATCGGATTTTAATTCTCATGCATATTTTACCTATGTAATCATACGCATTTTACTCGTCAGATTCTAGCATCCAGGTTTGCGTGTGCAGATTTGCACGTGGGAACCTCCTTCCCTCCCCACCCGCCCTTCAGTGTGAAAAGTGGCAAGAGGTCAAGAGGAGATTCACAAAATGGATGCACCCATCGCTTCCCCCCTTTCAGAAAAATGACACACACCCCTTTTAGCCATGCCGGGATTAGTCCTAAATCCTGATAGAAATTACCCCATTCCTTCAAAATGGGACAGTACCTGGAATTCTGCCTCTCTCTTAATCCACAAGATGATAAAAGTTTATTCATTCCTGCTAATAAACTCCCATTTCTGGCTGTGTTTTGTTCTACAGTTCGGTCACATTTTTCATGCGTTAATTTTTTTTGTTTAAATAGTGGAAAACATCCTTGAGTAATTATTGACTTCAAATCCTGGATGGAAGTCAAACAAATTCAATCCAGAAAAAAAGAGTGATCTTCACATCTCTTGTTTGACTGACATCAGAAAGTTTATTTGTAAAGGGGATGGTCAGAGACCCTCCTCTTTGGTTTTGATGGACAGTTAGGTCAGATTTAGTTTCTCATTTACCTCAGGTGGTTTCTTATCCGTTTTCTGTGTCCTACACGGAATGTCTTCCTTGATAGCCAGCAGATGCTACGGTCCTGCATTTAATCCTGGACTAAATACACCTCAGTTTTTACTTAGCCAACATCCCCAACAATTTTTATACGGCATATTTTCCGAGAGCAATCATCATATTCTTTCAATTTTGGCAGCTTCTTCTCCTTTTAAATATTCGTACCAAATTGTGAGGAAACCTGGCTTTTCTCTTTGTTTCATATATGACAGTTGAAGGAGGTTTGAGCTGCATGTGTTTGGTATACAGTATCTCAGTATGAAATTAATTCCGTCTTTCTTTTACAAACAGTGGGATTATGTGTACACTTCCATGGCATGTGTAAAATTATGTTGTGAGAGAATGAACATATTTGGAGAGAGAGTGACAGAGAGACAGACAGAGAGAGGAGGGGAATGTTTCAACTCTATTTTCAAAGCTATTATTTTGTGTTATATTTTGGCTTGTATCTTGAGGTTGCAAAAGCCAGGAGGAATCTGTTGAAGCCAAAGAAAGAAGATGACTCGCCCAATTATCTGGGACACCCATGTCTTCAATCTTCCCAGTTTAGTTTATATCCTGCATTTGCTTGGCTGTTTGACTACCATGATGAATCTGTTGGCAGATAATGCTAGCAGTATTTACACAGTTGGTAATCAGGATTCCAAATGGATGATTCCTAAATGCCAAGAATAAATCTGAATTTCTGTCTTGCTTCCTTTAGAATGATACCTCTTCAACGTCTAATAAATAAAACCCTCATACTTTTCATTTGGCTTCTGAAGTAATCAAGCTGGAAATACTTCTCTCTGAATCCACTGGAATTTACTTTTGAGCAAAGATACAATGGATCAGCCACAAAATTGCTTTATGTTTGCGAGCGTGTTTGTATGCACGCAGGCGTGTGTTCTGCCATGGGCTTCCGTGTGGTGTGTTAATCTATTTTTAATTCAGTTGTTTGAAGATAGGTTTGGGTATAGCTTACTTGCTTCTCTGAAGTTCTGGTTGGTTTTCTATGCATAGATTTTTTTAAAAATTAGATATATATTTCCTTAACAATGAGCCTGGATGCTAGGCCAAGCTGGACATTTTCCCCGCTTCATGAATGTAGGTGAGTGACAAATCTCAGCGCAGCTCTTGTTACGATTTTTGAAATTCCACAAGAAAATACAACGGTGACAGTTGAACTTCTCAAAGCTATATCCGCACAGTGTGCTATCCGGTATATTTCATTGTTTGTACTAGTACATAAGTCTCATGGGTGAGGTGAGGAATGTTTGACTGAAATTACTAGAATGGTTCATCACATAAGAACCACAACCTACCTACTGAATCCATTTTGTAGGAGGCCACGGAATGCAATTCTCTACGCTTTTACTTAATGGCTTGCAGTGGGATTGGAGTGAAGGAAACACGCTTAAAGAAAAGGGAAAGGAAGAAATACAACTGATTAATTGGAAGGAAAGACATTTGGGAACTTGATGGCCAAATGTTTATTGTGATCATGTTGGTTTTGTGCCTCTGAAGCAAACTCAAACCTCTGACATTTGCATCTCTTCACATATAGTCCGCTTCTTCTTTTCATAGCAAAGTGCAAGATGTGATACAGGCTGAACGTTGGTATCTGTTCAGCTTCTCTGCATGTTAACTGATAGGGTTTACCCTTTTAAAAATCTGATGTGTTACATTGGCTTCTCGGATTGGGTTGTGGGTTTGAAATATTGCCCCAAGAGTTTTAGGAGAAAAGATTGGAGTCAGATTTGTGAAGATAGGAGAAGGTTCATAATTAAGCTAATTAAGGAACATCTTGTAATAGCTGTAGAAGTCCTGTCTGATCTGTTTTATTTTCAGTTTGGCCCAAGGAAGAAAGAGGTTATCTTAGGTAGGGTTCTCTGAAATAAATGTAAATAATAATAAAATTTGAGACAGCAGGCAAGGGGGGAGGTTTCTGGTGTGCTATGGTTCATGGGGTCGCGAAGAAGTGTCGTTCACAACTTAGCAACTGAACAACAACCAAATTGAAGGAAAAGGACTGGTATTTGCTGAGATGGGTGTGAAATTGAAATAGTGGCTGTGATCTATGACTTTTGGTATGGTCCAACCTTATATAGTGGAAAAAATGTTCACACTCATGGAGGCTGTGAAAAGTCTATTATTTTTATTGTGATGTTTTAAGAAGAGACAGAGGAAGAAGGTGGCTTGAAAGAAGCCTGCAGATTTGGATGCTTGTAAAATAGGGATACCATCAAGTCCAAAATGGTTGAGTTGAATCTGAGCTGTGAAGAAATTTCCTGCAGTTTACTAAGCGAGATCATTGTGCACCCAGATAATTCAATATATATGCTTACATGAGGTCTGGTTGGAATATAAACTACTATTTCTGTCCTGAAGCTCCTTTGGAGTTTGATGCATGATCAATGACCAACGTCTATAAGGTGCTAATCATTTAAATATGAAAGAATGATAAGGAAAACCACACAAAAGCATTTCTACACAATTTCTTCCCCTCTTTGAGTGGGAAGTAAAAAACACAACATTGCTTTATGTACAGATAACGGGATATTCCTGCACAGCTAAATAGCACCATCTTCTGGGCAACAAATATTTAAACATCATAGATGTTCGTCTTTTGTTTCCTATCACACATCTCTGCTTTCGGTCCTTCCCAGATCTTTTTCTGACTATGACTTTAAAAAAACCCACGATATTTTCTGGTCTGTATATTCCATGAAGCAATCAACACTTGTTATTTGTTCTGCTCCATAATTGGCTTCAGAGTTTAACATATTTTTATTTATTTTTATTATTTTAGGCCTCGGATGCCAGCTCAGAAAAGTTGTTCAATACAGTCACAAACAAAGGTAAGTTTACACACTTCCTTCTTCAGTTCTGTTTATTGTGCTACCTCTGTTACATCTTACAATTTTCATAAATCCTGTCTTTGTCACTGGACAGTTGCTTCATTTTTTTTAGGCTACTGTTTGTATTTTGAAACTCAGGGAAGAAAAACCCTGGTTAAAAAGGAGAAAAAAAATCATTAAATATTATTCAGTGATATCTGATTTGATAGGAGGAAATTAATCAAAGTAGCCATTTTGGGAAATGTTTAACTGTGGCTATTTTCCATCTGGTTGCCCGATGGGTACAGATTTAAGAAGAACTAATTTGTATGTTAGCCAGTTACTGTTAAATGCCATTTAGGGTTCATGTCATGAGGATTATGTATGGAATCCTGTCTATGGGAGCTGCTTTTAAAAAGTCAATTTAAAAAAAATGTGACAATTCACTGTAACATACGATTAGTTTCATTAATTCCTCTCAGGCTGCCATAAATGTGGGTGTGTGGTTAATGGCCATAACAAGAGGGTGTAGCTGGGTTTGCAGCAATGAATTAATAGAAGTTATTTTGAGTGTACTGCTGTATAATGGGATTTTCTGCATGTGTGTCTGGATGTATTCAGCAAGTACAGATAGTCCTTGACTTAGAACCATTCATTTAGTGGTCGTTTGAAGTTACAACTCAAAAAACTTGACGACCGTCACAGCAACTCCACAATCAAGTGATCAAAATTTGGGCAGTTGGTAACCAGCTTGTATTTAAGAGGGTTGCAGCATCCTGAAGTCACGTGTTTGTCATTTCTGATCTTCCCTGCCAGCTTCTGACCAGCGAAGTAAATGGGGAGAAAGCCAAACCCATTTAACCATGATTCATGTAACTGCAGTAATTTGCTTAATAATTATGGCCAAAAAAAAAAAAAAGATTGAAAAATTGGGAATGATTCACTGTACAACTGCTTTGCTTAGCAACTGAAATTCTGGTCGTAATTCAAGGACTACCTGTATTTGAGATGGAAAGTGGAGAATATCTCTGTCGAAGACGGGGAATTTTAAAGATTTAGAATCGGGTTACTGTATCTTTATTTAATCTTCCTTTTCTATCTCTTCTGTTTCACTGAGCTTCTGGTATTAAGTTGCTGTTTGGTTAAGCAGAGTATTTATAGAAAAACTTGGCATCTTATGAGGTCCAAAGACAGTTTCTAGGTGGGATTGATTAGTGACTGAAAGCCTGAGAAGAATTCAGACTTAGTGTTTAGCCTCTCTAATTGAAAAAAAAAGGGTGAGCCATGAACTTACTTTGAAGGCCGTCTCTGGCACTGTCTTTAAAGTCTAAATGGGACTTTAAGTTCTTGGCAGTATTTCACCAAAAATGAATCAACTGAATAAACAAAAATGCCATTCTGATTTATAGTGTTTAAAAAAAGGTCCAAATACTTTTGAATTAAAGTGAACGTCTAGTTGGAGCTCAATATCCATGAAATTTGCAAGGATCTAGCAGAAGTGGTTGGTCACTGTCTTTTTTGGGGGGATGAGTTTTCAAGTTCTTGGTCCAGCCTACAATTCTGGAATTTTTTGGTTAACTCCCTGTCAAGAACTAATAATTCTTAATTATCTCCTTCCTAAAAACCTGAAAAGATAAGGAAAAACAGGGGGAATTGAAGCCCAGAATAATGTCAAATGCAGGTGCTAGAAGTTGGCAATAATCTGTTTGATAGTATCAATAATTATTGGCATTCAAAAATAAGCAAGACCTCCTGAAGACCAAGAATGACAAGTTCTTGCACTGTTTTTCTTTATCTGGGCATCTCTTAGGAAGAATTATGAGGAATAAGCAACTCTTCTGGGTGAGATTCAGCTTGGCTTTTTGGTAAAATGTAGATAATTAAGGACTAATAATTAGGACCTATTTTATTCTATTTTGCATTGATCAGATTCCTGGGCCTCAAAATACCCAACATAACAGAGTAACAGAATAACAGAGTTGCAAGGAACCTTCAATGTTTTCTAACCAATCCTCCTGCTCAAATAGGAGGCCCTACACCATTCCGGACATATGGCTGTTCATTCTCTTCTAAAAAACCTTCAGTGTTGGAGCATCCACAACTTCTGGAGACAAGCTGTTCCACTGATTAATTGTTCTAACTGTCGGGATATTTCTTCTTAGTTTTAAGTTGCATCTCTCTTTGACAGGTTTCCACCTTTGACCCCTTGTCCTACCTCAGATACTTTGGAACAGGGGTCTCCAACCTTGGCAACTTTCAGACTTGTGGACTTCAACTCCCAGAGTTCCTCAGCTTTGCTGGCTGAGGAATTCTGGGAGTTGAAGTCCACAAGTCTGAAAGTTGCTAAGGTTGGAGACCCCTGCTTTGGAGAATAGGTTATTCGTCTCCTTTTTGTGACAGCCACTCAAATATTGGAAGACCGCTATTATGTCATCCCTAGTCATGATAGACATACTTTTTTTTACATGGGTCATGTGATTCATGTAGAAAAGGGGCAGGGTTTCAATTATAAAGTTGTGGCTGCCATCTTTACTTTTTTTTAAACTTCATTTTGCAGATGACTCTGTTCTACCTTGAAGAGGAAGTTAAACTCCCTAGCTTAATTGGCCCCTTTTAAATTTAAGTTTCTGTGTTCAAATAACAAGGTGAACAAGACCAGATTACGATCTAGCAAATGCTAAGCTTCATTAGCATTGATGTTGGTTTGATGTTTTGTATGTGGGTGTGTGTTTTTTGTTCTGTTGCATGAACCCAACCTGTCTAGCTGTTCATGTTTTGCAACCTGGACAACTTCCAGTATGGACTTCAGTTTCCAGAATTCTCACCAATGGTCCCGATCGGAGAATTCTGAGTGTTCAAATCCAAATTTCAGGAATTATCCAGGAAGCATTCTGAGGCTAATGTGTGATTTGTGTATCGTGCAAACCAAGAACATGAATTAATCCAGTAACTGGAGAAGGTGTGTTGTCTAGGTAATTTGGGAATAACATACAATTTGAATTCCAGTTGAATTTAATTAAGGTTTAATTCAATACAGTTGCTTTATTAGTCCTCCAGTATTTGACAATTTCCCTCTTCTGTCTTCTTAACTATTTGGGGAACAACTATTTGAAAAATTTTGGACCACTTTGTGGCCACAAGTAATGAACTTTGGGCACAAGTATCTCTAATTTTTTTATTAGATTTATACCCCACTTTTCTTTCCAGTATGTATGACAGTATACAGAACATTCTTTTGCTTTCCCTAATAACTAGCACCCTAAATGTTCCTGAAAGAAAGTCATTTTTTTCCTTAGTGTGTTTGAGTCATTCTTGACCTCTAGCAACTATATAGACAAGTCTTGGCAAGATTTTCCTAAGACTGAGAGAGAGGGATTGACTCAAAGTCACCTAGCTGGTTTCAGTGCCTAGGGCAGGATTAGATTAGATTAGTCTCTTGATTCCCTAGCTTGGTGCCTTCAGCCATTATACCAAACTTTCTTAAGACTAACTGACCTTAAGTCACCCAGAGAACTTTTGTGATTGAGGAGGGATTTGAACTCAAATCTCCCTGATGCCAGTTCAACATTTCATCCCTGATGCCAGTTCAACATTTTATAGGAAACAGAGCATCTTACATACTGCTTTGAAGTATATAAATTTTACACTAAGTATATAAGTCTTTAAAGAAGTACATTTTATATACTTATATACTTTTATATACTTACCTTTATATACTTACCTACTCTTTATATACTTAGGTTAAATGAATTAGTGGTTGTTGTGATTCTTAATTGCCTTTCTTTCAAAGATTCATTAGTTACTTGGATATTTTCCATTAACATGTGCTGGAATCTGCTTCCCAGTTTCTAAAAAGTTTTTAGAACTTGACAAAAGAGACTTCTGTAGATGGCTAGTGATTTCCTCAAAATTAATAACAGTGACATAATTATTGTAGGAGTTTCTGGATATGAGGATTTGTGAGCTGGCTGTTATATTCTCAGTCTTCAGAACATGAGTTTGTATCTGTGGTTTAGCAGTGGGGATATCTGGTTCGGTTTCTTGCCTCTTATTCTCCAAATTATGGAATATGGAAGATCTACCACATTGGCACTCATCTGCCATAAGAGCTAAGATTTGAAAAACAGAGCTTCTCTTAGGTCATTAGCAATTATATGTGGCTATCTGAGAACTGAATAAGCTTGCAGGCCTGAAGTTCATGTAGAGCGGGGGGATCAAACTCAATTTCATTGAGGGCCGCATCAGGGCTGTGGTTGATGGTGGGGGGACCGGGGGCAGGGCCGACTGGGTGGGCATGGACAGCTTGACGTCACTCCTCAAACTGCCGGCATGCTTCCTCTTTCCATTGAGTAGGCCGGGCCGAAGCCACACTGGCCCAATGTTTCCTCTTCACATTGGGTAGACTGGGCCGAAGCGATGTGGGCTGGCCCCTTATATTTTCCAGGACGACCCTGTGGGCCGGATCCAACCACATCACAGGCCACATCTGGCCCACGGGCCTTGAGTTAACACCCCTGATATAGAGGTAGTCCTTGATTTAATGACT